GTGCCACACATCCGTACCATTTCGTGCATTCCCGAAACCAACCCGAGCCACAACCCGGACCACTTTTCTCATAGGGAAATACTTTTGACCTTTACTGCGTACATGAATGTCTTTTTCTAACTTCTGCTACACTAATCTATTTGTTAGATGCTAATTTCAACAAATTTTGAATATAAGAAAAGTTATGGGGCGAAATTGCACCTGGATTGAATGAATAGGTGCGAAATCGCACCTGGCTTAGTCAACTAGGGGGCAATTTTGCCCGGTTCTACTTTAAAATCCCGAAAGACAGATTCCCGAAAAAGACATAATATCGTGGCCAGCATTAGTTATAATGCTGGCTAATTTAGTCAGTATTATGTCTTTTCGGGAAAATGGCTTTCGGGATTTCAGGGTAGAACCATTTTGCCCCAGGTGCAAATTCGCATCAAGGTATGCAATTCCTATTTTCAACAACTCATACTGTCCTAATCTTCGTAATTGAATAACATAATAATAATAATAGACAAAAATAAAATGAACAATATATATAATTTTGGATCCAGGACCCCCCCTTTACAACGTACGTATATACGTGCTTGACTCAGCGGTCTATAAATGTTGAGAAGACAATTTTTATTATATAAACATTCATAACATAAATCTAATTTAAAGTTTGCTTTAATCCTAAAATTCTGAAATTTAAATATTAATTTATATCCCTATAAAAAATGGATTGTATAAAATTTAATATTTGCATTGTGTAAAAAATGTCTAAAAGACGTCATTTTGTTTAATTTTTCCTGATCTTTGTTCTATTTAAAATAAAATAAAATCCGGCAAAATTAGACAAAATGGCACCTTTTTAGACATTTTTTTACACATGTAATGTAAAATATTCAACAAATTTTATACAAACCCTTATTTATAGGGCATGTCCTTATGTTTATCATCTGTTGAATTAAATACGCTTATATGTAATATTCTAATAATTTTGCTCATATAGTCACAGGTCAAAATCCAACTTTAATAATTTATGAGACATGATGATCTGCTTCGAATATATAAATGTCAGAAAAAAAAATATCGAATTATTAGTGAAAAAAACAATGCTATTTGATCTATTTAAAAACCGAAAAGAATCATGGTCCATTTTCTGGATTAGATGTTTCTTTGTTATTTTTTTTCTATTAGTAATAATTTCCATAGCTGTTTTATTAGTTCGAAGCTTGCATAATGAACAGCCTTATACAAGTACCACCACTTATCATCCAGGCGATGCGCCTGCACCATAATCGAAACCTAGCATTTTTAAAATTTTTGTTTCTTATATAAGTAAGTTATCAAAAATTGGCGTCAGCTTTTTCTTTGTTACAAGGTTTCCCAAATATAACTCTATAAAGGTTTTAATGCAATGAAACCTAGGTTTAATAATATCGATTTTCAAATCTTTAAAATTTTATACAGGAAATTTTAAAAAATTCTCAATAACTTTATAGTTTTATGTTGTCTTATAAAATTTCTTTGTGCAATAAATTTTGGCGATTTGAAGAATCGAAACAAATCAAGTGATTATCGAAAAAATTTTTCTTGAAAAAATCATAATTTCTAATAATTAATCAATTTAGATATTTATTTCTCTTATGTACATTGATTGTACGATATTTCTTGACGCTGTGAAACTGGAAACGTGACCTGAAGCAGGCATGTGCCCCGTGACCTCGATTATTTCCAAACCCGGCAAGAAACGGCCATTTCTGAGAGAATTGCAGAAATGGAAGAAATGGAAGAAACGGCGATTTGGGGATTTGGGGAATTTTAACAATAAGGAATTTCTGTCAATAAGGGATTTTTGGGATTATAGACGATAATAGCATTATAGCAATTCCTATAGATAAAAGAATTAATATATAATAAAGGCCTGCTGAAAAACAACTCCGCCTTTGCTTTATTAATACGATCATTTAATCATACAAGTATCTCTAATAAAAATATATATCCTTATCACTAAAAGAATAATCTAATACATCCTAAATACTTGCATTCGCTAAGACATTACTAAAACTATTATATTTCCTAAAAACTATCCGACCCGATTTAATCTAAACTCCCAGTTACAGAAAGTAGACTTTTATAATACAGTATTTATATTTTATAATTTACTACATAACTCACAATGTTCATGCAATCAACAATTCTAAAGCTATTTGTATATCGAGTCACTAAAAATATTCAAATTAAATTTTTTTATATCATTCATTTTGAAATTTTAAAGAACTCGTATTTGTACTCCAAGTCTTATAATGAATATGTTATGCAACCAAGTAACTGTTCAGGTCAGAAAATGGATAATCGTGATAATGAACATCCTATTATTGGAAAATTTCTGCCAAAAGGCAATATCTTGTTATCTTACCAAGCCCAACAAATTAAGTTTGTAATAACTATTAGCAATGATGGTACGATATCAGAAAAATTTACCTTTGGAATGTATACATATGATTCAGGCAAGTTTGTATCTTTTAAATCAATGATAACTTATTAGAATAAATAGAACATGATCCTTGGAGTAAAAAATCTGATGATGCATTTTACAAATCTTTGCCATTTGGTCCCAGTCCTACATGAAATAAGCGTCAATTTAAAAGCAATTAATTTTTAAATTTATAAAAAATGTTATTAATAAAAGAACAACAGTATTATAATTTTATGTATTCCAGAAAAGTCAAAAACATTAGATAACTATTTTAAAAATTATATTTTTAGCTACGATAATACCTATACTTCGCAATATTATATTGAATCAAGTATACGTGTCAAAAAGGGGTTTAAATATCTTATTGTAGTTAGGTTTTTTAAATACTAATGACCTCTTCATAATCCGGTTTAATAACAATAGAATCTGCGCCACTGAGTTATAATTCACAAATAATATCGAGATATAATTGTAGAAGTTAGTGTACCACAAAGGTAAATATAATTTGTTAATTTTATTGGTCATTGTCTGTTGTTTATGCAACCATATTTAATCTATATAATATATAAAATAGAAGCAGTCATGTAAATTTTTGATTCTTTATTGATAAATTATAATTATTAATAATTCATATACAGTCTACCTGTCCAAACCGGATTTCCTTATGTCAAGAAAATGATCTACATCCGATGTAACACACAATTTTGATAATATTATATATATATATATTG